TGCAGGTGATCGTTCTAAACATCATGTAACGCAAGCTGTATATGGTGCATCATCGCTGTTGCTTTATTTCTAGTAAACCAGCAACAAGGGATCCCGAGCCTATTGAAGACCTCCTTCAACATTTTTATCTTTGATGCCTCCTCTGAGTCTCTGACTCTGTTTGGAGTTGATATCACTTATGAGAACTCACCACCAGGGTTTGCCTGCAGTTCGAGTGTGTGTGATGTGAGTGATGATGTGAGTGTGAGTGTGTGTGTGTGTGTGTGTGAGTGCTGGCGTGGTGTGAGTGTGAGCGAGTGAGTGTGGAGGGAGGAGGCGGAAGGAAGGCGGGGGGGGGGGCGACGGACGCGGGCGACGGCGGGCACGGACGCCAAGCAGAAAAAGTAAGAACCCCACACAAAGATGTGGGGAATAACTAACTAGCATTTTCCGGACATCTCCAATCAGTGCTTTGCAAGCGAGGCCGTTCCAAACATCGCAACATCGCTTTGCAAGATCACTCGTTCATCTATGTTTCCTTTTTCCGAGAGTAACCACTCCTCACGATGATGGCAACAGCTGTGTTTGGTCAGGGATTTGGCCGCGTTCGCAAACCGACACAATCTCTGCGTCACGTAATTTCTGCATGCGAGATCGACCTTTCGTCCTAGCCTTTGGCTTTCAATTCAATCATGCAGAGATTCCTGTGGCAAGTGTTGTGCATTCGTGTCGTTGAATACTGAACACTGAATACTGTAGCATCACCAGGCAATGCTATACTCCGAATCGGGAATGTCCGTGATGAATCGGGCAACCTGGTCTCCCAGCCGTCGTCGTCGAAGGATGAACCGTGGCAGCCACCAACTATGGGCGAAATAGCAAACTTGCAGCTGGTGCAGGACGAAATTCTTCTCAAGGATGGCTCCTGCCAATACCGTCCCAAAGAGCGGTTGCCAGTTTGGCACACAGATGGCACTTTCAAAGAAACGCCAGAAGCAGGCCAGGCCATGTGGGTCTTCCGCAGATCGCACTTGCAGCGGAGATGAGTGTGAGTGAGGGTCCAGACATGTCCAGACCAGTTCGCGTCTTTACAGCTTGCACAAGTAGAGGTGTGCCTTTGCCTCTGGAGGGGTTGCAGCCAAGTCGCCAAAGTTGATAACATGGAAGGCAACACACTGTTTTTGTGATCAACGAAGACATGTATGTGGGGTGACTTAGGCTTAGATGCAGGCGCTGCCCCTCTTCCTGCATGCCTCCTCTGGCAGGCACTGCATTGTTCTGCCGTCAGGCCCCTCCCAGCGGTGGCGCGACGTGTTTTGCAGATGCAGTAGCAGCATGGAAAGAGTTGTCCCTGGAGAAGCAGGAACGCTTGCAGACACTAGCAGGCAGATTAGCAGGAGGGTCTGGCAGCGACGCCAAACACTAAGATCGATAACCCCGGCTTCCATTCAATCTGCAAAGTCGTGGCAATTGACGAGTGCTAGAACGTTTACGACGTTAACCTTCGGTTGGACAGTCGGGGACGAACATCCTTCCAAATTGTGCTGGTGATTGCCACAGCAAAGGCAAACCAACAACTATACCCGTATAGGAAGGCATTCCTTCAAGGACTCTCTTCTTTCGTGGTCCGTGGAGACAGCTCGCTGATCTTAGAATGTATCTGAGGAAGCTTATCTGCATCTGCAGCTTGGCGCACCACGACGCGAAGATCAGACTTCGCAATCCGGCTTATCCAATGATGTCGCATGAGGCTGCACGCTGCATCGCACCCAATCTTGTACTTCACAAAGCAGTGTACCTCCCCTATTTTGATGGTTGCTTCTAGTAACCTAGTATTAGTGTGTGGTGCACTCCGTACCTCTGCTGTACCAGTTGTTACCCTATTAATTTGCATCATCAGCGCATGCGTCCAACTTTACCCCCTCGCAGTCAGTGTCTTCTGGAGGAGCGATGCAGGAATCCCGCTCGCCGTGTGCCCCTCTGCCTCCAGCATCCAGAAACGGGCCAGTGCTCCATTTATGGTATCAATTCCAGCACGTGCTCGCTCATCGACAAGGGGCAAGATGCCTGACAGCATTCAGCATATGTCAGCATGTCAAGATGGGGCAACAAGGTTTTTCCTGAGCTGGAAATTGAGGAGATGTGCCCTTCAAAGCTGCGTCACTATGAAGAAACTGGCGAAGAGGATGATTCGGCGCGGTGCCTGCATTTAAGAGCGTGTTCACATGTCTTTGCTGTTGAGGCAGCATGCAAATGTCAAGCATCCTTCAGTGGGCTTGCACAGTCAGCGGCTACAGACTGCCTCTGCGACATGAGACATGCTGCAGACTGTGGCCGCAAAGTGCACATAGCTGCAGAAGCGACAGAAGAGAAAGGGCGACACAAAAGATTAAGCCGATCTATGGTCTTCTAGCAGCAGCCAGCAGTCTCACGGTGTTGAGGGAAAACCGAGGTTGCCATACTTCGGGATCTCTTGGTGCATGCCACTGCACCTCAATTTACTATCGTGTGGAACTGGCTGCCTGGAGACTTTGCAATTTGCGACACTCGGTCTACAATGCATTGTGCCACCTCGTACGATCAGAACTTCACCCGGGAAATGTGGCGGACAACAATCATGCCTGATGCATGCTTTGCTGTCAGCTTCGATGCTTGCTGAGTCCTACGAAAACCGTGGTTGCACCTCTGTAGAAGCCAGTTTTCAGAGCAGTCGCACGAAAAAGGAACGAACAAGGAACGCAAGACCGATGTTTTCGGCTTGGAAGCTTCGCAGGCCTTGTTTGCCAGAAGACGGGCCTGAAGGGCCTATAAATCTGGTAGGTGGCCATCGTCTCATCCTATTCATTGAGGGCTCTCAGATATGTGCCCGTGTTTCATCCCTGACAGGCTCAGTATTCAGGCCTTGTCATTGGAAGTTTGCAATCGTAATGTCGTCCTGCATCGACTTTTCTTTTGGTATTATGCCGTGTCGGATCCTTCAGAACAACGGTGGACTAGCCAGAATGCCACGCACCACAATTCACCATTCCTTTGTAGAGTAGACCTCAAGCAGCTACCTATCCTTGTATGCGCGCTGTCCGTCCGTGGACGGCCTGCGAGATGGAGCTTGCCAAGGCATGACTTCTGTCGAAATCTGGAGGGACCTTTTGGGATTTGGACCTACATCCCTTCCAGGCGTTGCAGGGTCTTGCGAGAGTTTAGCAATTGCTCGCCGTAATGACTGTTGCCCTGTTCGAGATGTTCGCCGTTCTTGTGAATTTCTGCTTTCTGTAGGTTTAGAGCAGCTTGCAGACGAAACTTGCCGGGAATTGCGAGACTTGCCCCACAGCCAATCTTTCTTAACTTATTCTTGGCAGGAAACCCGGGCCACAAGTGATTCTTGCATAGTCCCAGCTTTGCAAAGCTCCCGGAATGTCAACTCCAGGATCTCGGGAGCATGCGGCTGGGCGTTCTGATTCTGCAGGCGCAGGTCCTGCAAAGCGCTTTGCAGCTGAGGGCAAGGACCGTCGTCCTAGGTATTAACTTCAAGCGGATAGAGACTCAGAGAAGTCCGGGAAAAGCCTTGCAGCCTGTGTGACACACTTGCGTAATTTGCATATGGCTGCGACGTGCAACAGCTCCATGTTCCCGGCTGCGCTGATTCGTGCATCATTCAATTAACGGACTCACTCGCTGCTGGTTTTTCCATTGCTCCCCACGTCCTTTGCCACAGGCAGCAGGTTGAAGACAAAGAGAGATCTGGGAGGTGGGAGGTCTCTTCTATCAGCGAAATCGGCCGGAAGGAGTCAGCAAGCTTTTGATATTTAAAGTTCAAGAGATCAAGCCTGATTTTCGGAAAGGATGCACACCTCTTTCCAGGGCAAGCTGCAGGACCACACGAGACTGGTTCAGCGATTGGCATGCAGCCATAGCCTTGTACCGATGTACAAACTGGAAATGTGTTGGCAGCTCAGCTTCCTAGACTACCAGATCCTTCGTGCAAGAGTTTGGCAGTCGCTCTGTGGGCTGCATCGTTTTCAATACCGAAGGACGAAGAATCATGCGAAACCGACATTGGAATACGAAAACTGACTTCGGAAGCCAGCGTGTTTGTGCATCGCCACCGCCGGTATATAGCCCGGCAGAATGTCACGTCAGCTCTCTCTCTGGGAAGTCCACGGCAGACCGGTAAGCTTGGGCTCTTGTCGGATTGGATTGAACTTGAAGCACTCAGACGGCTTGGCCACGATGCTGTGGACATCGTGGAAGGCACTGCCGACAGTCCAAGCTGCCGAGCCACAGCGCAGACACTGAGACCCGGTAGAGCCGCCGGGCCGTGGCCCTCTGACAGAGGCAGAGGCGGGCATGCTGCCTTGCCCTGCTTCCCATCCGACATGGAGCCAAAAGCAGTTCCAGCGCTTCACGCAGCATCATTCCAAAGCAGGCTTTTGAGCGTCCGCGTGCAACCGTGTCGCTGGATGGATTTGGGCCCCTGTGGTTTGGTTTGCAAGGGGTGATGCAAGGTTGCCCTGCACAGCCTTTGCGCATTGTTTCGTAGAGCTACCGCGTCTTGCCACCAATTCGAGGCGAAGGCATGTCCAAACCCCGGGGGCCTCTGGCCCTTCTCAGAAAGAATGGAGATGATTCGTAGATGATGTCTGCATCTTAAGCTGCCCCGTGTTTGGAAGAGCTCCTTCTGTGTGCAGGAAGCACGAAGCGTGTCGAGAAGCGAGACTGGCCTGGATGTATATAGTCCTTAAAGGCAGGTTATTGACGGTTATTGCAGGGTGATTCAGCCTAGCAGGTCAATCCCATAAATACAAGGCCTCCGCAACAATCATGAGCAGGCTTCATACTGCATAATCTCCAAGTGTGGTTCTGTCGTTGTGTGTCTTTCCCTCCACCGGCGGTTTGTGCAGACACTGGGTTGGACGACTCATTCTAGCGGTTCTTTCCCGTGGAGCAGACTTGTTAGGCCGTGGCTATAACGAGATGGAAAGCATAACCTTTACGAAGCTGTTGTTGAGGAGGCGTATGATGGCACGAGCGGCACTCTAGCCCGCGGAGCTTGTGAATGTCGGTGTTGCAGCAAGAGTTCATAGCCAACCAAAAAGCATAGGGACGGAAAGTCAAAGCCGCATCTGGTGATAATGGTGCTAGCGACAGACTCTTAAGAAACCTGTCCCGCAGACTCGGCGATGCTGCTGTCCGCACTCTTGACATAGAACCAAGTAGCAATATGTAACTGCGCTCGCTTGACATCATGTACTTGAGAGAAACCATAGTCGCTGCCTGTTCGCCTCCTAGGACCTGCGGAGTTTGAGTGGGTGCTCAGTGTTTAAATCATCGGGCCACGATACAGGATGCCCTGATGACGATGTCGCCTAGTACTCCGAAGGTCTGGCAACTCGGCCCCAACAAGATACCTTTGCTGACCCGTACTCAGACACAGACTGTGCCTGGTTGCTTGAAGAGCAGGCTGTCTGATGCTGCAAGACTTCAACACAGGCCTGAGACCCTAACTTCTGAACCCAGGTTTGCCTACCTTGTGAATTCCCAGTAGTCCGGCAACCATGCAGATTCTGCGATCGTAAAGCAGTGCTGCGCATGACCCACATTCTCGTGCTCGACATGAAGGTGCAAATCCTAACCCGTGACGACCCACTCACAGATGAAGCGGTACACACGATTTTGATTTGCCCCTGCATGAACTGCAGCATCACTGCCTTGCATGAGTCCCTAGTGTGCCAGCAGGTCCTCCCCCCGCCTCCATAGCTCCTTCGTCAATATGGGCCACCGCTGCCACCTTGCGTTGCATTGCAAGATTCACGATGTCAGGCCACACCTGAACATGTAGGGCCTGCAGGGTCTCCAGCAGCGAGCCGTGAAGGTGCATAGATGCCCCCTTGGCCAGCGGTTCATGGACAACGAAGGTACGAAGACGCAGGGGGTATATAGCTGTCAGTTTGTTCGCCCCCAGTGATGCTGTTGAACGTGTCGCACCACAGCCTCCCTACGTCACCAGGAACCGCTTTGTACTCAAGTCATCTCGGCCTTTGGAGTGTCAGGCCTCTGCAAGTCCGTAGGTTGCTGGAAGGCGGATTCATAATGTCCAGATCCTACTGCCTTCTCCTGAAGTGGTAGCTGCAATCCCCTTTGCATCACGCAAAGGGTAACCCTAAACCCTTGAGGCTCTGCGGAAGCTGTCGGAGTACAAAGTCTATCAGCATGGGTTTCACCACCGGTTTCAGCATGGTGTTTTGAGGTCGGTGCCACAACGCATTGTAGATGGCAGAACTTGGTGCAGCTGCAAACGCCTGCTGCGCATCCGAGAAGGAATGCAGTTGATGTTAAATACAGCTCTGCCAGACTGCATTGGCTCAAAAACCTGGCCTTTATAGGATGCCGTCGCGGAGTGCCGAAAGTGCAGACAGGTCCAGGTCACTGCAGGTCGTTTGCTGCACAGGTGCTTTGTCAAGGCGAGTGCAGATACGAAGCTATCGACACAGAAGGCTCTGGAATGGACCATGGCATCGTTGCATCTCAAGAACAGTATCAAGACGCCACGTGACTACGGGTTCCTTTTCCGGAGATTGACATCCTGCTGCGGGCGCTGCGGGCCGAAGCTGCAGGGGTTGTTTTGCATAGCCTTAGAATGCAACGTGCGTTCTCGATCATCAGCCTCTCTGGGCCATGACACAAGTGTCGGAAAGGGAAAAGGCAGGGAATCATGCCAGGAGTTCTGACACAAAAGAGCGCTTCTTTCGTGCATTGCTTACGTTTGTTTGTGGTTCTTCCCAGGTCGCAGAATCATGTGATATGCGCCGGCGCACCACTCTGCCAAGCCTTGCAGTCCTAGCTGGAGAGGTGTTCAGGCCGCACCCTCTTCGTGGCAAGAGCCTTCCGAGGAAAGCAAACTTGCTGGCCCTGACGATAGCATCTCGCGGAGGAGTAAAGACATCGCTGAAGCCCCAAGTCTAAGTCTTGATGCGACATGGGGCGTTGTCCTCCGACTTTCCTCGCAGCGGCTGCCTCTGGCCCACTTTGGCGGGCAACCTGCAAAACGAAGCAGGAGCCATAAGGGCCCGTTGCTCACCAACACGGATGCCCTTGATGTGTTCGTTCGTCAATGACAACAGGCATGACGTGTCTCGGACGCGCCCAGCAGCGTGCGATGCTGCTACGCATGCGCGACGTTCTTGCCGCTTGCCGGATGTCAGCCCGAGACATGCGCAGACGCACGAGTCACGGGATTCTTCGGTTTAGAGTTCGAGAGGGCTGCGAGGCCTGGAACCGGCACGTTACACAACATGCTGTGAAACGATCGGGCCAGAAGAGGTGTGAAAACAACAAGTTCACAAGCCACTAAGCCTAGAGAGGGCAGCCTGGCCGCAGTCCGGCTTTTGCATTCCTTCCGTGCCCGTTTGAGGTGCCTGTCTGCCACTTCTTTCCACTTGCCAGGCTTGGCATCCGCGAGTACCTACACAGCTCTCAGAGCAATGGCCACAGCGGTTTCAAGACAACCAAGACACCCAGAGTCTTCAGCTCGAGGCCAGAAGACTCAGCACCTGCAACTCTTCACTCTCGCAACAGTCCGGTCCTAAGCCGTACAAGCGGGTTGGCCAAAGTCGGCCGCCTGTGGAAGTCAAACCACGTGCATCCCTTGGCTGCTCACCCTCTCTCAGACTCAGCTTGCCATTGCAGTGTCTCTCTTAGCTGCCTTAGCTTCGGTTGAAGCTGAAGGAAGGACGAAGGACCTGGCTGGAATGCAGGGTGTGCCTGCCACAGGAAGGGAACGAAGGGAAGGTACCGTGACCCGAAGTAATCTCCATCTTTTTAGCGCCTGGCACTCGGGGACCCGGAGCTCCTTCTCAGTTCCGAACTCGGTTACCGGGGTGAAATGAAGAGAACCGAGCTGCCTTTCCCTTCTTCGACCCTCGTCCTCTACAGGTTTCTTGTTTGTTCTCTTCTCGTCTCTACGAGGCTTCTTCCCTTCCTGGACGCGCCTGCCGCCTGCCGCCCGCTCTCTATCGCTTCTTCTCTCGGCATGTCTCGGCGAGAGCTGGCCTCGCAGAACAGTAAAGAAGAGCGCTTTTTCGCTGGCCGGGCGGAGATCCGGCGTGCCGCCCGACCGCCCCACAGAGCCATAGAAAGCAGCGGCGCATGCACATGTGAGTCTGCGAGGGCCCGGAGACGGATTCGTTGGGCTTGATCATTTGCTTGAGCTCCTGCGCTTCAGGTTGAGCTTGGCACCATATCTAGGCGAGACTGCCAGGAGGCAGAGTCACCTTCCATCGAAAGTCGGACTGCCGAAAAGCCCATTCCAGAGTTTTCCAAGAAGAGGCTGGTTTTGAACCGGTCAAAGATTATGGGTGCACTCGGACCACCGTGACCATGGATCATGCGACCTGGTGCGTTGACCAGGCGTTGGTCAAACGTCCGCCAAGTCATGTCCCAAAAATCTCGCAGATCGGAAGCGATTGCAGAGACAAGCCTCAACGCGACGGACCGACGGAGGGAGCTGAGCTGGAGATCGGAGATGTGCTGCCTCACCTCCTACTGGTACACCTCCAGCTTCGTCTCGTGGCTGTGCCGTGTCTTGGCCCTTGTTGGCTTTAGTTCCAATGCATTCCTCAGGACAAATCGCTTTGACAGAGCTTTTGCCGACCTCAGCCACTGTCGACTTGGAGCTGTAGCTGTCGGCCGGAAGCATGGGACGTCGGCAACATAGGCATGCGGCCGGCTCTTGCGTACGCTCATTCTAGCGGTATGCCCCGCTCCCTGCCTAGTGTGGACACGGCCGTGTTCCAGACGTCATAAGGGATCAAGTGAGGTGCATGGCTTGCACAACGCCCTTGGGCCCAATTGAAGGGCAGGCCAAGTAAGACACTGAGAGGCGGCGGTCGCAAAGATCACGTGGATGCATGGGCACGCCGGAAGAAAATGTCACCTGAGATGTTCCATGGCTGTTGATGTCTATCTTATCCAGGAGGACAGACACGAGGTACTGCCATGAAATCTTCCTGTGTGCACGGCTCTGCTTCTTGTGTGCATGGCTTCACCTAGTGCGGCCTGGGCACTGCAAACTTGAGCTGAGCAGCCTTGGCTCTGTTTCTACACTCTCCGCAAGACTCCGTGTGCTGGGCCGCTAAGGCCGCTAAGGCCGCCAAGGCCGCTGCCGCTAGGCGCTCCCTCACGGAGGCAGAAGGCAAAAGGAGATGCAGCAGGGATTTTGCAGTCGGCACCGCGGCGCCGGCATCAGGCCCAGCTCTTCCACGTCTTGCCCCTGCCGAGCCCCTTCAGCGTCTGTCACAGCCAGTCCGTGTCGAGGGCCTTTGAGACTTTTGGGTTGCTCCACAAGGCGCCATCTCCAAAGCATTTCTCAAAGGTCTAGCTGCTAGCCGCCCAGCCTGATGCATTTCTCTAAGGCCTGCCGGAAGTTACGCTCTTGTGCAGTGAGAGGTTCCTGTGATCGAAGCAAGCCAGTGACTTTTCTATCCTGTGCGGGGTGGGCTTTGGAATCTTTTTTCTGATCTCAGCACCTGTTCGGTGCGTCGGCTGCTTGAGGAGTATGAAGGCACATCGAAAGCTCCCATGGTTTGGACTGCCTCCTCTGTCGTCGTCAGTGTGCACTCACGAGACGGCGAGGAAAGAATGTCCTGTGGCTTTGTGACTTTGGAAATCCCGAAGCCGGTGTTGGCTTTCGCTGCACTTGGGCCAACCGGGGCTTGAACTTCAGCCACCGAAGTAATGATTCAAAACAAAGCTCTCTCCGTGCCCCTGGCGCCCATTTACAGCACCTGCAGCTTGCGATTGGCGGGCGCGGCGGCCGCAGACATGACCAGGTTAGCAGGTGCAAGTGTCATGTCTCAGAGCGGCCCTGCAACCCCGACCGGGACCACACTTTGGTTTTTGCGGGTGCAGAATGTCGCAGTCGAGCTTGTTCTGGCAGCAGATGCTGATGCTGACTTCATTTGGATGTGAATGTAGTGTAGTGCCATAGTTGCTGGCTTATCGACGCCAGTAAGGATTCGATTTCTTTCTGTGTCTCGAGCTCGGCCTTCGTGGACCGTGCCCTCCGTGCCCAGAAGCGCTTGCGCAAGCTTCGGGATGCGGTAGGTCGCGGCGAAGAGCCCTTGCCCTGTCGGGTGGACCAGAGTGTGTGCAGGGTTCAGTGGATCGGTCGAGCGAAATGCTTGGCTTCGTGGGTTCACGGGAGCTTGCTTTCGGGGTTCAGCCCTGGGCCAGAGCGGTTATAGGCTTTCAGGGCTTGTTCGTGGGGGTGGATCCGTCTTGGGCTATGGTGAGCTGTCGCCAGATGCAATCGCGATCTCGGAAGTTCTTGCGCAGACGTTCCCGTCAGCTTCCCGAAGTTCGGATCCTTTGCGGGTATCGAACATCTGTCGAGATCTAGGGCACATTGTCGTACTGCTCACGAGCAAAGTTCTGAGCAATCATCGGCTTTCTCTCGGTTCTGAGGATGTGCGCTGGAATTGGCTCTGTGGAGTCCCACTCACCGGTTGTTCCAAACTCCCAAAATGTCATTTGCAAGGATGCCTCTGCCTCGCCTGGGGCACAACTTTGCCAGATTTCCTGGGCCCCTGCTACCCTTGTGTTGTCTCCCGAGTTCCCCAAGCTTCATGACCTCAGCCTGCATACAGATTGCGCTTGTCTGAGATGTGTATAGCTCAAGCAGAGTTACCCAGGAGTTAAACTTGGCGTCGGTAAGCCGCAAAGCATGAGCTGCCAGCTTTGCCAGTGCTCTCTACACATCGCCATAAACGGGGAAATCAGATGTTCCGTCCTGGCAGCCCGGTCGGTGATCGCATAGCTGTGCGGGGCGACCGTTTAGCTCAAGGTGTTTGGGCCAAGTCAGTGCAGCAAAGCCCGACCTCCGACATTCCTTGCTTGCGGCAACCTGAGACCTAAAGATCTCAAGGCCGTACGCTCTTCCACAGCCCTTCTGGGGCTAATCCTCGTGCGCTGGACCAGCCCTAAGAGAGCTTCCATTAACAGGGTCTGGATAAGAGCAAGGCTGGTGCTTGGCACCCTTTGCCTGCGCAAGCTTCGGGATGCGGTAGGTCGTGGCCCTGTGCCTGGACACTCGCCGGAGCCACTTCCTTAGTGGACCAGAGTTTGTCGTGTGTGGTGGCACGCCAGCCTTTAGTCCTCCAGGTGTCAGAAACCAGAACGGCGCTGCAGTTTCTCTCGAAGGTGCACACGTCTGCTCAAAGCCCTACATCGAAACTGGCATGCTCACGCAGCATGAGCAGCATGAGCAGCAGACAGCAAGGCTGGCAAGGCTGAATGCGTGGCGATGTGAGGGCCTGGGCCATGCTGGGAATGACAGGGATCTATGCTTGGCATACTGGGAGCAGCTGGAGCTCCAGCCACTCTGCCCGCTTTTGCCACCTCTCGCCAAACGCACTAGAGCAGTACAGCGACGGCGTAGCCGTGTGTGCGTGCTTGTGGGCCGCATGCCATAACAAGGCACCTGGGAGCCAGCAGAAAAGGCCATGCCTGTTTCTACGGTGATGTTAGTGCAGCTTGATCTGGGCTGTGCTCGCGAGCTCGCATCCATGGCAGATGACAAACGCCTATGTGGTCCCGCAGGTTGGAAAGCTTGAGCCCGGAACAGTCCTGCCCGAGCAGCCGCCCGAAGTTGAGACTTCCTTTAGCACAGGACTGCTTGAAGACTTGAAGGCCCGAGGAATCTGTGCAGCGTGTGTTGCCCACATAGCATATTAAGCCATCTTCAAGCGCATCTTCATGTCCATGGGTTCTTCAGAGAGGTACCTTCGCACGCCTTACACGCCGAAATGATTTCGTTATAGGCATGGACCAGCCTCAAGACCTTGAAGGTCTAAACCATGGTGGAGCTGACCCAGATGCTAGCCTTGCAAGTAGCCGTTCTGTGGATTGCCGTCACGCCTTGATGATTCGGCCGTGAACTTATTACGAGCCCATGCGGGCGCAGGCAGCAATTGCGATCTCGCGGCCGAGTGCACTCCGTCGCGATGCTGCAAACCGAACGCTCAGGCCAGATTGAAGCATACCGAGAACCTGCGGGCTTTTCATGTCCGGATAGAGCTGGCCCACTGCACCGATCAGGCACTGCGCCCTCAATGCCAACCACATGCTAGCTTTTCGGATTTTCGGAATGTAGGATTCGCCGGCCTTGTGTTCACAGCTCGAAACACCGCATGCGTGCGCTGCGCACAAGTCTGCGGACTGAGTGCATCCAGGGGATTGCGCTGATGCCCGGCAGAGTTTCCAAAATGGCCCTGAGCAGCTCAAATCAGCTTGCAATACACAGTTGCTTGCCCTTGGGTTGTGTGCCGCGCCTATGCTCCGTGGACCAAGCAGATGTTCTAGAACCGTAATGCCTGGATTCAAAACCTGTGCTCGCGAGCTCGCATCGATGCTGCAAACCGAACGCTCAGGCCAGCTTTCCGGAACTTGTAGATTCGGGGATCTAGGGACTTACGGCATTTTCCACGTGCTCACAGAATGCGCCAAGTGTGAAGGTGCGTTTCTGGCATGCTCACAGCGGCCTCCTGCCACAATTGGAAACCCGGCTCGACCACTCTTCACTGTCACCTGGGGTGAAGTTGAAAGGACGCCCAACCGAGGCGTTTCCATTTTATTTTTGTTGGTAGGGTGTGCCGGAGAAGAGTGCTATTTCAGGGGCCGACACCGGCAAATACTTGCTGTCGTAGAACCCCTGCCGCTGCAGCGGATCAGCTGAGTGATGCAGCGGTAGACAAGTCCTGCAAAAAGCTGCGAAAAGGAAACCCTGCACCTCTCAGCATCAGGTTCTGGACCACCTCTGCATGCAAGCGGAACAATGATCCATGCGTCCAGAAGGGCTTGCACGCGGTAAAGCAGGCTAGTAGCGGGCAGTCAGGAATCCAAGGAACTTCAAGCTGACAAGCTTGTCACAAAGCTGCCAGAGACATGTGTGAACATGGACAAAGCCACGAGCTCAGCCCGCAGGACGCACCTAAGAAGTCGGCTCCTTCCTCGGTGACCCGCCGCAGCGTGAAACCACACATGAGGAAGCGGCTGAAGACTGTCGCTCTGAGCCCAGGCTAGATAGGAGATGCCGATCCCATGTTCCCGGGAACGCCGCAAGCATCCGACGCTGCAAAACGGCCCTGTGCCTCGCGGCCTCGCGGCCTGAAGTGCTTCGGGCAAATGGCTGGCAACATGCAGGTGCAGCTCTCTTGAAGGGGCCTTAGTCTCAAGAGCACGCACCTCCTTGGCTCGGCTTGCAAGATTGGCTGGTCGGCTTGTGCAACTGCTCACTTGCCAGGCTCTTTTTCGAGGGGCCGATGCTTGCCAGGAGTGGGACGGCATATGGCAGAGGCATGTGAAGCTTGCGATGCGAGGCGTTCAGCAATCTCTCGGTGACCCTTCATGCAAATCTCAGAAGGAGCGAGTGAGGAAGCATTGTGGCTTGAACTCATGCCGTTGGACGTTGGAATGACCTTAGACTTGTTCGGACAATCAGAGCCCATCATTGGTCTTCTCTGCCTGAACAGGAGCTTCCGACCTCTCAAGCACTTCCCTGCCCGTTGAGCTTCCGACCTCGGCTCAAGCTTCGAGCAGCTCTTCGAGCATGCGCAAACTCAAGTCACAGCTGTCCAGGTTGTCAAGCGGCTCTCAGCTCCGACACTCCCGTTGCAGAGTGGACTCGCGCTTGGAGTTATTGTTGGCCTTGAAAATCTCACGTGGAAGTTCGCATGGCCTTCGCATTTGGACAAAGCAACCCGGCTCTGTGTTGGCTTCTTCTGATTGCCTGCGTTGCTGTTGCTGACGGAGAGTGAACTGGCGAATGGATTGGGCAAAGCATGGTAAGGGCCCCCCGTCCTCGAAGTGATGCTCTAGCGGAAGAAGATTCGTCCTGTACGTCTCTTGTGTTTCTGCTGGTGTCCCGCGACAGGACCCGGAATTTCCAGTCGTTCAGCCCCTGACGCACCGACAGCCTCACAACCTGCAGGGAGGCCACACTTAAAGAACGTGCCGCTGAGGCGGATGCTTTCGATTTTCTCAATTCGTAGGTAATACTTGTTGGCGCAGCTTGCCAGCCTGTGTGCCCGTTGGAAGCATGCAAGTCAAGGAAGTTCCGGGAAGTTTTATGCAGCTTGCGCAGCTTGCGGTATATATTTTTTCAGATGCCAAAGAGGATTGCCGTGGCCACTCCAACATAGCATCACCTCGGCACCGAGTTGGGGTCACAGTCGTGGTGGATGCCAGCCTGACATTCGGCGTGCCTCCTTTGCTTCCACTCTGCAAGCCTATCTAGGCGAGGCGCATCGAGGCACAGTCTGAGACACACTTATGCACCTGCGTTGACTCAGGCAGCATACACCAAGGAATCCAGATGGTCATCTGAGGTTCATGCTCATTCAGTTCGTTTGGACCCCGGGCGTGTTCCATTCTCCCTCAATTTCGCCGTAGTGTGCTGGACACTGAAGCGAGCGAAGGCATGGGAAAAGAAGCACCTTGCAAGTTTTGAGTAGCTCGAAGGTCCACAAACACCGTGGAAACTCTCTGGGGTTCTAATTCTCAGCGTAGCGGGATTTTCCGTGATGCCGCGAGACGCCTCCGGTAGGTGCACGATCTCCCGGGACATACGCTTGCGACGCCGCCCCCGGCGTAGCCTGCAAGGACCTTTGTAGTTGCTGTTGTCTGGGTCTACTGGGGTTTCGACGGATTTCGCCAAACTGCCCAAGTGTTCCCCCATTTGAGACTCTTGGATTCGTGACGAAGGGCTGCAAGCCTAAAGATCGATTGTCACAAGTGGAGCGCCCCACAAAAGCCAGTGTGGGTAGTACAGCTGAGGCACGATGGTTCAAGAAAAAGCGTAGGCAGATGGCATGCATACTTTCTCGTGGTGAACATGTGGCGGCTACACTTCACTTTGCTTGCTTTTGCGTCAGCGCCACGCGCTCAGACGGGGTTGCGGCTTACCAATTCCATCGGTGTTTACGGACTCATCGGCCTTTACGATGTTTTCCGTGCATGTGATGTCACGGTTACAAGATACCTGGACCCTGTTGTGCTTTCTGATCGACTTGTGCTTTAGAGATTCCTGGTGTTTAAGTGCCAACCAGTCGCGCCAAGGCTTGCCGCCTTGGATTGCAGAATGTCAAACAAGCACTGTGCAGTCGGAACACGTTTTCCAGAAAATCCGAGCTTGTTACGAACGAATTTCGAAGCCTTTTCAAACGCCACAAAGCTCAAAACTGTTGCCATTGCCTGCAAAACTCTGCTTCTGGCAAATCTGGTGGGCATGAACGGGCAGGTGCAGTGCTAGGCGAGTCAGGCATGGAAGCCATGCGTTTGAATCAAGTCCAGACAAGCAATGTTTAAACCCCAAACAAGCTCGGCGGGTTGGGGGGTGGGGGAGTGGGTGGTTGTCAACGTTTCTGGTTCTCGTGCATAACAGACACAGGCTCCCGCAGTTTTGGCCCAGAACAGCTAGACCCCCGCGACATAATGCCATGATAACCGAGTCGTATGGCGTCGTGCAGTCTTGGTCCACTACTTCATCTATGAAGCATGGAACCACGGGCATGGCAGTTTCGCTGTCCTACCTTCTTGCGCTTCGCTTCCTGGGCCACCCCAAACATCCCCACATACCTTCAAAGCTCAATCTCTAAATTAATCCTTGAGGCCTAAGCCCAAACTCAACACAGCAGACATGTCTTGGGCACCATGATCTTTACCATCGCCGTATCATGATATGCATCACCACCAGACCTGTTGGTCTCGTCAGCGTCATTATGACTGTCTCATCATCCCCATCTTCAACAATCAGACAACAATGCCAACTGGGCCTGCGTGTCTTAGCAATATACTGGCAGCAGCCGGATCCTTCCTAAGAAGCAAAGCAGCGCACTACTTGATACGCAAACAAGGGGCAGCAGTCAGTAGTGATTGTGGTCCTGCAAGCGTGTGGCCATCCCGCAAACAGGCAGAAAAATTACGGGCCCCCATGACCTTGTGTACTCCAAAAAATTCATGACCGTCATGTCTTGCTCCGTTTCATCACCTCTGTGAACGTTGCCTACTCGGAATAGGTTCAACATCAGTAGAGTCTTCATGATATGTGGAAATGTGGGAGAACCATGCCAGAAAGGTAAGCTTTCTTGAAATACAAACTTTCAGAAATTATGTGCTTGCTTTCGTGACTGTGTCCTATCCGATGAAATTGGATCAACAAGTGTAAGCATGGAAGGCCCTCCGTCCGAGAAATACTAAACAAATCATCAGCTTAGCACAGCCATTTTTTTCGATGCACTGCGACCTTTCGGTGTTTGCGGTCCTCTCGAACTCCACCATCCCGCTCAATAACATGTGCGTTTACGACATCGGTTTTCCAGATCCAAGCCTTCTCCCTGACGTGCTCAAGCGCACACTTTCTCTTACGGGCTCCGTTGCCTTGTTCTTGAGACATCTGCTGCAAAACAAAGAAGCACAATCGGCCTGAAACTGAAACGTGGTGCCCAGCGTCAAGTCAATATTATACGTTCAATCAAGGAACGGGAGCCCAAATCCTGAAGTTCTGGGCCTGACTTTCGAGTCCCGGGCACAGATGGATCCCGGATGATAGGTGTTTGAGATGCATTTGCAGATAACAAGGAGAAGACAAATTAACAATAACACGAGCTTCAAACGCTTCCGCAGCTTACATGCCTCAACTCGTGACCTCGGTGGTGTGCTTGGAAGTCTGTTCTTTG